TTTCAAATTTAGTTTTTTCAAGAAAATAAACCAAAATAAGGGCAGGCCAAATAGCTCAGAAAATTAAAATAAATGCCTGCTTAGGTTCAATCCCCGACCTGCCACACCAGCCCCACCCCCAGGGCATGCTGAGACAATGATCTGAGGATGAGATCGGGTGCAACAGGGTGGTATGGCCACAGCGATTTGGGTGTGGTGATGCACACCTATGATCCCAGGACTTGGGAGGCTGAACACAAGTGGATCACGAGTCTGATCTATGTAGTGAGACCCTGTAGACCTTGTACTAAATATAAAAAAACCCCAAAATGCATAAACCAACATCCATAATATCTACCTGCTATGCTGAATGAATTTAAGGAAACAATTTTTGATACTTAAAAATAGCCAGGTGCAGTGGCACACACCTGTAAATTCCAGTACTCTCAAGGCTGAGGCAGGTCAGTCACCAAGAGCTGAAGGACAGCCTGGGCTACACAGTGAGACCCTGTCTCAAGAAAACTAAACCAAAGACCAGTAATAACTTCACAAAAAAACAAAACCCTTATTCTTGCTCCTTACAAACTACTGAAGTTATTTTCTGTTAAACTGACAGCTTTCCAGAGATCACCCTACTACTGGGGATTGAACCTTTACACTGAGATCACATTATTTTTTTTCCCAGAACTGGGGATTGAACTTGGGCCCTTACGCTTGCCAGGGAAACGCTTATTCCACTGAGCCATCTCCCCAGCCCCATACCCTTAATTTTTTGAGATAGGGTCTATGTACTTCAGGCTGGTCCTCAAACTTGCAGTGATCCTCCCGTCTCAGCCTCCCATATGTTGTGAGTACAGCTGTGTACCACTACGCCTCTTTTTTTCAGATGGGTCTTCCTAACTTGCCCAAGCTGGGCTCAGACTTGGAATCTTCCTGCCTCAACCTTCTAAAGTACTGGGACTAAAGGTATACATGCTTTTATGTGATGTATATGCTTGGCTTCATGGTATGTGTTTTGATTCCACAATTTCTGCAATGGAGTTGTAGGTCTAGATTTTTATTAATTTTGGCACCAATTTAAGCATACTGTTATTTTGGTGCTGGGATTGAGCCTGCTGGGCAAGTGCTTGCCCAGTAAGCTACAGTCCTAGCCCCAAATTTTGGCCTAATACTTCAATTTCCCATTTAAGGTCTTGGAAATTTACGGTTTCCCATTGTGCCTTCCATTGAAGTAGCTGTGATTATATGATGAAAGACTGCCCTCTTGTGGTGTACTGAAAGAAAAACCAGAAAGGATGCAAAGCCAGGCAGGTGGCTTTGACAGCACTGGGTGGGACAGGCCTGTCCTGTTCAGGGGGTGCTCTATAGCACTGGGTTTGCCCTCAATATCCATAGTAACAGACAGCTGGCTGCTTTCTGTTCTCAAGTATTTTCTGCTGCCTATCATCACTTTTGTATAATTTCTGAAATCTCCCAATTTTTCACCCAACAAACCCACATTCATTGGTACCAGTGAAGCTAATGAGACATTCAGGCCCAGGCAGAAACTACTGGAGATGGGATTAGGAGATTCAGCAGATTCCTCTATGTATGTTAGGCTGGCCTTAAACTCACTATGTAGCCCAGCTTGATGAAAGTCAGCTTGATGCCTTCTGTTTTGTGGTTTTGGAACTAGGCTGGTATGGCTGCTTTCTACTGAATGGTCACGAAACAAACCTCTTGGGGAAATTGCAAAGACATGAAAAAGAGCTAAGAAAAAAAGTACAGGAGAAAAGACACAACAACATGGATAATGCTGTGCACCAAATACCTTGGGCAGTATTTATTCTGCTGTACCCAAGTCAACAGCTGGGCTAACTATTCTGGGTAACAGAACACCACAGTGAACCAAGGGTTTGCCCTTACAGAGCTGCATTCTCATGAAGTTATTTATTTGTTTATTGATTTAGGCACGCACTTGTTCTAATTCAGGCTGGTCTTGAACTCACCATGTAGTCCAGACTAGCCCTGAACTTGGCAACACCCCTTCTTTGCCCTCCCAAGTGCTGGGATTGCAGGCATGCGCCACTATGCCTGGCTTCGTGGAGAAATTTAAATGAACAAATGTGTTTGGTAGTTTAAAGATGTTAGGAAGGAAAATCAAGGTTAGAGGGGATGGGATAGAGAGTTTTTTTTTTTTTTTTTTTTTTCTTAATAAGACCACTCAGAGACTGACTGCTCCTGTAAGGCCATACTTAAGCAAGGACCAGCTAAGAGTGAGACCTTGAGAGAGACACTTGTAATCTGAAGCAGGCCAGAGCACTCCATGTATATGTACTGCATTAGTGAACACAAAACTTCTGGACCAAAGAGAATAAAGATTCTGTGTCACTAAGTTTTATTTTTCATGGCATAAAGTATTGTATATCACTGTATGCCTGATAGAACAGGCACAAAACAATTACTCAAAATGACTTCTGCATTTCATTTCTTTCCTAATAACCTCAACTGCGTACTGATTCTGCTCTAAATTGACCAATGTACAGGTATACCTGTGGCCGTGCGCAAAGTGTGAGGAAAAACTTACTCATAAATGAAAACTTTCAATGTTTTATTTTTGACTGCAGCTGTTTACAGAAATATAGTTGCGAGTATACAAATGTTCCAATAGAAGCAAAATATCTTTTTAATATTTAACAAGTTATCACAGATAGCTAAAAACACAGATGCAAATGAAATTCCCCCAGAGAAACTCAAAATATCTGGTGTCAGTGCTCTGAAATCCCAACTATGAAAGCCATATACACAAAAATGTAACCTTTATATCACTTCAGGACAAGAGAAGAAGGCAGTTCAGTGGTTGATCAGTGTGCTCAAGCAAATAAAATTAAAAATTAAAATGGCAGAAAGGTACCTAAACCACTTGCGAACAGATTAATTAAATATTTATAACATATTTACTGAAAGATTAAGTAAAAGACATGAATGACACTGAGTAAAAGTTGTCAAAAAAAGCAAATCACTTGGAGCTTATCACTGGAAGCAAGTGAAGAAGGTGAGTAGGTACATTCATTAGATCAAAAGAAATGAGCAAGGTTTTTGGAATCAGTCTGTTACTAGTTAAGTCATGATCACTTCAGTGCAGGACAGTTCTTGCTTTGAGACAGAATCTCTATGTATGTTAGGCTGGCCTTAAACTCACTATGTAGCCCACGCTGGGCTCAAACTTGTGATCCTCTTGTCTCAGCCTCCCAGTGCTGGGCTTACACGCACGGGCCACCACACCTGATGAGGACAGCTCTTTATTAGACACAGAAGTCTGATTCCAATCCCACTCTCACACATCTGAGATCTCTTGTGTATGTTGTCCTGAGGTGCACTAGCTAAAATAATAATCAGTCTCTACGCATCAGGAAAAATGATTTCTGAGGGTGGGGGAAAAGAATGAACTAGAGTAAGCAAGTAGGCATAACAGGGTTAAACACAAAAATTTTTTGGTACTGGGCATTGAACTCTGGACCTCGAACTTGCCAGGCAGGCACCATGCCACTGAGCTATATCCCCAGCTAAACACAAAATTTTTAAAGGCGATTATTACATTGGGGTTGAAGAACAGTGGTACAATTCTTTGGGCAGAGGAATATACAGTACTATGCAATAAAGAAGGTAAAAGGAAGAAAGGAGGAATGTAACTAGAGCATCTCCCAATAGTTTGCCTATGAACTCACTAGCACCAAAACTTGTAGAATAAGCCACTTAAACTTCCACTGCTAGTATTAAGGAAGGACAGCAGTGGTGATTTTTAGAAAATGATTATATACTTTTAATCTGAAAAGTGAATTTTTTCTTTCATGAACTAATTGGTGATTTGTAAACAGTGGAAGGAAGATTAGAATACTTATGGAGGTACTGGATTGGACAAGGAAATAAAAATGAATAAATCTATTTATTTTGTGGCTACTTTACTATGATGCTAACAACTGAGAAGGGGAAAATACCCAAATTATATAACCCATTGTCTTGTCTAATATTTATTTTAGCAAATAACCCTTATCTGAAGCATAAGCTCCAAAGATAGTTATATCTCTACTGTAACACTGTTATATTGAAGTAAGCTACTTTTGAAGAAGTTTTTACCTATTAAAAGAATTCAAATAAGGTGCTGTTTGCCTGGCCATCTTACTTACTATCTCAGATACAAATATAAGGAATGATAATTTTGTACTGAGAGTTGATCTAGCCACAGCAAAATTGTGATCTGCTAGTAAAGTAAGATGCAATGAAAAAAAAAAGCTTGTATTACACTGCCTACAATGTACCCATATTATGGATAAACAGGAGAAGTTAGCACCCGTCAATTATCTTAGCTACTTAAACATCATAAGAATTAAAAGAAATATTGAACATTGCACCTATATATTTAAATGTTATTTAATGTAAACTTTTGGTAAGTGGTAGGAAAAATACCAACTAACTTAAGTGAATTGTCAATAACCAGACTAACTGTACATGGATGTAAAACACATGTATTTCTTAGGTAGTATGAAGAATAAATTATCATTGCCAATAAATGACTATAGATAACTGGCTAAGCTTAGTTCACATAAAGGACAATGTATAATCCCATCTCCATAAGTAGGAAAAGAAACTTTTTTGCTCTCACTAGATATTATTTTATACCAATGGTTCTTAAACTATAGTGTGCATCAGAACCACCTGGAAGGCTTGTTAATGCTGCTCAGCTCCATTTCAATCTACCTGGGATAAGGTTCAAAAACATGCGTTTCTAACTAGTTTCCAGGTGACACTGATACTAGATGGTGGCTAAGGAGCTTACTTTTTTTTTTTTTTTTTTTAAATTTAATTTAATTTATTTATTTATGTGTGTGTGTGTGTGTGTGTGTGGCCAGCTCAGCCCACCAGGGGGCGGGGCTGGCTGGCATGTGGTGCTGGGGGATTGAACCTTGGTGGTCCCTGTGCTTTGCTAAGCTTGTTCTAAGAAGGTGCTTTAGACCACTGAGCCATCTCACCAGCCCCTAAGGAGCATACTTTTAAGAACCATGGTTTACATGTGGAAACGTTCATAATATAATATTCTTATATAAGAACACAAAATATACAGAAGGGAAACTGGGCTTTAACTCATTCTCAAAGATATAGATGAGTAACATTTTAATGTTTCTAAAGTGGATTGTTAAACTATAATAATTTCCCCTTAAAGTCAGTTACATTTCTAAGCCCCATTATAAGGTCACTGTAGAGAATATCCACATAATACTTATACCAAGTCAGATATCCAAATTAAAAAGGACACGGTATTCTAAATAGTTAAGATCCATTCAGTAAGAAAGAATCATTACTGTTTGGCTTCTTTGGAATGACTAAAGTGCATAATGTCAACAGGCTATTAAGAATATTGCATAAAAATTTGTAGTCCTCAGTGGCACTAACAATCACAAAAATTCCTGCAAGTGGAAGGGAGCTCGATCCAAAAGCATTACAATCCCAACCTGCTCTTTCTTTAAGCACCATCCCTGTGATGAGGAGCTGGAACAAAACAAAATTAATAAACCCAGAAAGACATTCAGTCTAACTGTACCTAGTAAAAATAAATTATTTTCTTAGGCCTGAAAGGATTCAGCTATAACTTTTTCCTTGTTTTTTTGACACTAGTTTTCTTAGGCAAATTACTGAGGCTCTAAAGGGCAAGAAATACACTGTACCTGGGAGTGGTGGCACATGCCTATAATCCCAGCACTTGAAAGGCCAAGGCAAGATGATTGCCCCAAGGCCAGCCTGAACTACGAAGCAAGACCCTGTCTCAAAACAAAACACAAAATACAACACAACAAAAACCCTAAAGTGCACTACAATGGATTGCTTTGCCTTGCCATAGGAAAACTGACATTATCAGGCCTTAGCTACACTGTATTTTAATGATTTATTTTCATTCATCTAATTAAGATCATAAAAAGATGTTTTATAGTTCCTGAAATTTACACCCATTTGTGTACAAGTCCTCTCATATATATAGTAAAAATTTCACTAGTATTCAAGGCTTGTTGCTTATTTTTTGAGAGGAAGACAAATTTATATAAGCCTAATCAGTAATCTTAACTCTCATCTTAACTCTCCTGTAAGGACCAATTCTAGCAATGCATCTCTCCTGCTATTCTTAAGTCAAAGGAACATATGAAGTATAAAAAAAAAAACCCAAAAAACAAAACAAAACAAAAAAAACCAGTTGTTACATGTTTTTGGTGATTGTGATAAATGAAGTAAGAAAGGGGCACTATCATGGTAAAAAGGCACTTTTCCATAAACAATTTCATCTGGATACAAATGTAAAAAATCTCCTGAAAGGCAAGTGGAATAAAAACAAAATTTTATTAATAAATGAGACTTCAAATATTAAAATAAATTTTAAAAAAGTAATTAGAGCATTTCTGAGTATCATTCATAAAAGATATTGTAGACTATCCTGATAGTACACTATAACAATATCTACATTTTAGCTCTAGTGACACAAATAGGCAGAACGGAAAACCTCTTTTTTAATATATGAGATTCTACTAATCCATTTACTAGGATATGTACTGAATTTCTTTTTTCTTTTGGTACTGCTGGGTATGAAACTCAGGGTCTGGCACATGCTAGGCAAGTGCTCTACCACTGAGCTATACACAGCCCCTGAGTTATTTCTCTAATCTATCTGCTGAATTACAGTTTCCCTTTCATTAAGTCCTTCTGAATAACCAAAGGCATGCAGATATACAATGGCTGTTTTGGTTAGGTAAGAAACCTATTGGTTAAGATAGGTCTCATATGATTTCCAGTTAGTTTTAAATAATCAAGAAATAGATATCAGATGAGAAAAATTTTAACAAAAAGATGAAAAATTCTCAATTATTCCTAATAAATATTTATAACTATGTCAAATTTACCAATTTAATTAGTAACTTATTTTATTCTGGTCTTTCTTTGTTGATGTATCTGCTAGACTTCACTTTTCTGAAACAAGCATATATAGTGGCTTAAAAGGGCAAAAGGAATTATTTTAGTTTTGAAGGGACACAGATACATCATCTTCCTTATTTCCTTTGACATTATTTTTCCTGGGAAGATTAGCCAAAGTTTTGATGGGCAAGAAATACATTCTAATGAAATTTCAAGCACATTATATAAAAAAAAAGCAAAGAATGTTGGAAAGAAAATGAGGGAAAGAAGGAAGAGATGGGGGAGAAGAAGAGGAAGGAGGTGAACGAAGGAAGGTCCCTTACAAATAGTACTTCTACAATGAATAAAGCCCTTTAAAACCTGTTCTAGGGAGAATAGATAAAACAGAACTTCATTGGCTAACTAACAACATGAGCTTCTAAATCCTAAGTAATGTGATACTCTTATATTAATACGATAAAACTCAGAAGCAAAATATGACTTCTAATTATCTTCTATTGGTGTAGATATATAATGGAATGATAAGGAATAACTCACATAGAGACAGACACAGAGATAAGCTCCAAGCATTTGTGTGGGTTGCTGAAAGCAAGAATAATTGAATGTAACAGCATTAAAAACATGTAGTTCACAGTTTATTTTGGTCTTTCTGCCATAAATTAATAAATTGTTGTTTCCAAGGCCTTTGCTGGCTCACTGAGTTGTCTACAGTTTCTAGCTGTAACTTGTAACAGTAATTAGGAAACTGCATTATTAGCATAAGTATCAACCACTGAGCTAATTCTTCAATAAAAAGACAAATACTCTTTGTAACCAAATCATATATTCAAAATGTTGAACCTAAATTGACTTTTAGGGGTAAGGAACATTTAACAATGTTTAAAAAACAAAAAGGAAAAAAAAAAGAAACAAAAAGCTATCAATAATTATTAAGAATATGGTAGCATATCACAGCCCTTGTATAAATAACCACAAAATTTATGAGAATAAAAATTGGGTTTTATGCCTCCATCTAATCAAACCACTACAGTTCAGGTGTATGTTCTGTTCCAAACCTAGATTATTATAAAACAGAAAATTGGTCCCAGTGACTTGGCATTGCCAATCAGTATTTTGAAAGGATAGACCTCTTGCTCAATCACAGAACAGAAGCACCACACAAGCCAGTCTTCTTGCTACCACTTCATTCATGGTGCAATATTAACACACTTTCTAACTGGAAGTTGATGAACAAATACACTTGAGTATCCTACCTAATCTCAGAAGCAAATTCAGAGATAAATGTATAGTGTTTAGAAAATTATTTCTTTTTTAATACCTGCTGGGTTTGCTTTCTCAGACATAATAGGCAGCTCTCTAGGGTTAGAGTTTTACATTTTAAAACTGAAGCACTGGATTGTGTGGCTAATCCTCCTTATAACCTGAACTATACTGAGTAATTTTTCCTGATAAGGGGCAGGGAAAGAGATATACTGAGAAAAATACTTTTGGTTCAGAGAATTTATAAAGTAGTTCTAGCTATTACAAGAGGGGGAAAATGTTATTAAAATTACAAACAATGGGTTTTTTTTAGTGTTTTTATAAATAAAAGGCATAGAATACAGAAAGCCAATTAACAATAACAATAATAAAATATTAAATATATGGTGAGCAAAGACTGAATGGCTCATTCTTGTGAAACACCAATTGATACAACTGTCTCAATAGGTTTCCTTACTCATTAACTTTTTGCTGAGTCAAAGATCCAGCAAACGTACAGAAAGCTGCCTTTAGCCCACTAATAACATCAAGGAACTGCCTGATGGAATGGCTACAGATGAACAGGTCATTTGTTTCAAAAGGTACTTAAATACTCAATAAAGACATAACAAACCCCCCCCTCACTGTTATCAGACGCCACGTTGTGGTAGAACATCAGACAAACTCACAAATTTACCACAAAAATGTGTGGCAAAAAGAATAGTTTATATATATGTATATATATAAATTTCTATATTTATGCCAATGTACTCACTCAGTACAAATAGCAAAATAGTATACCATTTCCTAAATACAAAATATAGCTTTCCAAAAAAATGAAACACACATTAGATATAAACCATCCAAAACTTGAACGATTGAAAACTGTATTCAAAATTAAATGACCCAGAGTAGGTCTCTTTCTGAAAAGTTCCCTTCATATCGGCAAGAAGCCTGTACTACTGAAAACGTAATTCAATACCTCTCAATCAGAGAGAGAGAGAAAGAAAGAAAGTGGGGAGTGGAAGGAAGTATAGAGGAGAATAAAGAGAAAAACAGAAGAGCACATTCAGAGAACAAAGGAAGACATCACAGAAAGGGTAAAATCTAGCTATATAAACAAAACCAACACCAAAATTTCACACAGGACATTTAAATTTATAGGATAGGAAGAGGGGAGAAAAAATATCAAACAGAAAAGTAGCCTCTAACAACAATTAACAGGCTATTTTTTTGTACATTTAAAAACGAATGGACAAGGACACCAAAACTTTATATCAATACATAGAAGCCACACACACATGTTGGTCTTACACTGCATTGACAGCTTTCCACATGCCCAAATGAAAATGAGACATAAGCACATATCCAGACACAGGCGGTAGTTAGAAGCAGGCATCCCATGGGTGGCAAGAACACCCAAAACTGTATAACTAACGCTACATCTGCAAGTTCTGGAGTGTGTTATTTTGCTCTTTATAGATGTAACACAAGTTAGTACAATTCATTTTAAGTCAATGATATGACCCTATGAAGCCTAAGGCTTGTGGGAGCCATCAGGTAAGTGACCTCTTAAACTTTAAAGCACTGAGGTAACAAATGAATTATATTCACTGCAGCTCAGGGAAAAGATGTTTCAAGAGAAATTTTAGTTTGCCTTTGTTTTTTAAATGAAATTTACACCATTTTTCATAATTATTATATGTGCTGCTGAAACAAGCACTATACTGTTTTCTATTAGAGGGGAAAATTTAAAGACTTCAGGACAGCACCGTTCATGGGGATGGGGTATGGGGGATAGATGCACTATTTTTTTCAGCAACTGGCTCCCAATAATTTCTAAAAAGTTCGTGCTCTGCACTGCAGAGTTGCTAGGTCACCCCGGGTCAAAGTGGCCTTTCCCTTTTACTTGCTACAGGGTCATAGTAGTATATTAATAGTTGTCTAATTTAAGTGGAAAGTAACAGAGATGTATATAAAAGAGAATTTCAGCCCAAGACTGGGTTAAGAAGAAAACAGACTAAATTACTGTCGGTTACAGCTGTAAGAGGGTATCAGAACATAATTTACTATGTATTATTCCCCTCTGCATTTTTTCATAGAGCAAAGTAACCATTTTCTATGCAGTTATGGCTAAACCACTTAGTAGAAATACGGAAAACTAACTCTAACAAACAAAATCAATAGCATTCCAGCTGTCTCCAGTTTTGTAAAGTATGTTATTATCTGCTTTTGTATTTATTCTAGAGTTCTCTTATTTGTGTAGAGTTCTTAATACAACTTGTCAGAATGTTATCCCTTCAACTTCTCCATAAAAATGAAAGATTCCTTCACTTTGGCCAACAGCTGTAATATATATACATATATATATATATATATATATATATATAGCCTTAGTTAATGAACTTTCATAAAACTTATGACTAAAATAATGCAATAAAGAAAATGACCAAAAGTAAACATGACAAATATTTTCTAATAGCAATAATAACTGAGTGGTTCAACTTTGAATTTAAACTGCACTTTTAAAGAAACTGTGCCTAGGAAAATGGCAACAATTATTTCTGTCAGAAATTCAACAGATTCCCAGTCATCACTGTTATTAGGAATATAAAATATGAAGATGTTAACATTGGTGGTTAATTATGCAACAGATAGCATAGGTATGCTCTTCTGCAGTAAGAAGAAAATCTAACCATGTACTCAAGTTTTTTATATTTTGTTTTCAAAGTAATATAGTTCAGTAAGCTTCACGGACCACACGATCTCCGGACATCTTGGAATCACGATTTTTTCCCCAAGGAATTTCTAAGGAAAAAAGTGGGGGTGGGGGTGGGGGAAAGTTTAATGTAATACAAAAGTGTTTTTTTTTTTTTTTTTCCTGTAATAGGACATTTTACTTTTTCTTTTTTTCTTTTTTGGCAGTGAGCCTAGGGCTGACACATACATACTAGGTAAGTGATCTACCACGAATCTCTATATCCCCAGCCCCTGGTACATTTTAGACATACATAATAACATTTATCCTAGGGAATTTGTACCTGTACATAATATATCTTGTTTCTTTTCTCTCATTTTTTTTTTTTTTTTTTTTTTTTTTTGGTGGAACCAGGGATTGAACTCAGGCCCTTGCGCTTGCCAGGCAAGTGCTTATTCCACTGAGCCATCTCCCTGGCCCCTTTTCTCTCATTTTCTACCCGCTTCAAATGCTCTTCTTCCACCGTTTCCATTTTTTCCCTCTCCTCTTTTTTTTTTCCTCAGCATCCCCCCGACACTCTTCTCATTTGAACATTTTCTTCCCAAAGAAGAAAGTACTTAGAGAAAATATTTGTAAAATGTGTCTCCCTCAAAGAACTCAAAATATATTCTAGGATAAAAAATAATTATCATACTTATTGTTCCGCATACTTTTTTCACTCAATAGTTCTTCAAGAAAAGAAAAATGAGACATGATCATTTCTAATATATAGTATGAAGGAAACACATTTTATAGTCATCAGATTTCTGTTATTTGTAGACAAAGTCTAGAGCCAAAAGGAATGCCCAATATTAACAATATGTCCACAAGCTATCATTCAGAGTAATTTATCATCTTGTGAGAAAGCACTATTTTAATAGATTGTGGTCTGAGATGCTTTAATTTAACCAAAACTGATGACAAAAATATACTGAAGCTTTTCCATAATAGGCCAAAATATATCTTAAATACTTACATATCCAGTTAAAAGGAGCCAGTCAAGTTGTTCCCTTGGTTTTGCAGAGAAACAAGCAAATCAATCTTTTCAATGTTCTGGTTGGCATTTATAGAGGATGCCAGTGGAGAATTCTCAGGCATTTGCTGAGAAAGAAGTGTCGTCACAGGTGACTGGCCCTCGGTTTGTGGCTGGCCTGGCTGACTTATGGCCATCAACTGCTCTGGCAGTGTACCTGGTCCAGAGGTTAAAAGCTGACTACAGTCTGCAGAGACATTAAAAACAGAAGCTATGTGGTTAGTTAAGATTCATGACAAAATTAGTTGCCATGGGAAGTTTGTAACTGTATTTTTATCTAGCATACTACTAAAAGTGAGACATCTGACAACCTCACCTCAGAAAAAGGTTTTCAAGGAATGATATTTGGCTTCATCTTAGGTTTTCTCTTAAATAGTATAAAATTCAATTTTTCTTAGATAACAACCACCTAACTCCTATGTAATTCCTCCTTGATAAATCAACATTGAGGACAGGTGCATACCTCCTTACAAACTAATTATTCTTTTTAATTAGCTGAGATACTGTCATTCTTACTCCATTTTCCTTTCAGGTTTATAGCTTAAAATGTTAAACATTACCATATTTAATCTTCCCAGTGCCCTTGTCAAGTATATAATATTGCTGTTTTAGAATGTGAAAATTTAGCCCTATGACGGTCAACTAAATTGTCCAAGATCTCATTTTTTATTTTATGTATTTGGTACAAGATCTCACTACACAGCTCAGATTTGTAGGGATCCTCCTGTTTTCAGCCTCCCCAGCGCTGGGATTACAGGCGTGTGCCACCACACATGGACTAGGTCACCATCTTAGTGCGCTCAGGGGCAGAGCCAGAGGGGCATGCTGTACTAGTGATTGAATCCCAGACCCTGCGCTTGCCTAAGCAGTCACTTAAGATCATATATATATATATATATATATATATAT